CCAGCCTGTGTGGTGGTGCCGTGGTCTGCACCGGGGCTGCTCTGAAGTGCAGCCATGCTCATGGAGCGCCTGTGGGGTGCTCAGCTCTCGGGGTGCAGGGAGCCCCTTCTCACGGAGCTGTTCCCCTCCCTGTCTGTCTTCTGGTGGCAGGGGACTGGGATACCTCATTCCTGGTGTCAGAATGGAGGTTTTCATTTTGCCAGCTTTTGGCTTTGGTACTTGCTCTGTCCGTTTATCTCCGGGCGGACTATACTGTCCACCCGACAACATGTCCAAACACCTTTTTGGGCGCTAAAGTTTAGGAACCTCTTCATGTCTGATTTTCACGCTCCTGATGGCACCAGGCAGGTGTGGAACACATAGTAGGTCATCGCCTGCGTCCTCTAGGGTGGAGGCTGAGGGCTCTAATGAGAAGTCCTGGCACTGCATCAACTGCTTGATCAACAGTTACCCTGTGGGTGACCTTTGCCCTGCTGTTCCGGGGCCTCCCTGTTTCTTCGTGGATGTCACTCAATGGGAGTTACCTCCCTGTCCCAGGACGAGGTCAAGCTTGTGGTTCGTTTCGCTTATTTACCATCTGCCTTGTCTGGTCAACTTGAGGGACGGTGTTGTTTTCGTAAAACCAGCATTGACCTGTGTCGGAACATAGACGTCCCACTGCCTCGTGAGGCCCCGCTTTTGCCTGATGGGCATGGAGAGTTGGGTTGTTTGGGAGCTAAGGCACCTTAGCGTCCACAGACCACTGGGTGCTGAACCTGGAACCAGTGTGCAGTGTCGTCTTCAGCTCCTGCTTCCGTCTAGAAGCACTTCCACAGTCACCGCTGTGAAGCACCAGGTTTTGCAGTTTCCAGCTGGTCACAGCAATACTTGTGCAGAGTGAGATGAACGTGGTGCCGCGATGTCACATTGTTGTCAGAGCTCGTGGTGCCTCCTCGCTGTCCTGTGTTTGTCCCCCTGCTCTGGGCAGTTGGGGACGAGGCTTGGAGCAGCACCGCCTGAATCCTGGGGCTCTGTCGACTGCAGAGGTGGTTCTACCCAGTGGCCTGTGATGGTTGGTGTCCATGGAATGCACAGAACCTGAAGGGCTGCTGCTCGGGACTCCCACCCAGTGGGTGGGACCTCCCGGGGAGGCAGCCATGGTGTGCGCCACCTTCATGTCTGTGTGGCCGAGAGCCCATGTGAAGCCCTTCTCCTGGAGTGGCTACACTGGGAGAGTTTCATGCCTCCGATCCTGGCGGGGGCCGGCTCAGTGAGGTGTGATCCTGGCACAGGCCTGGCCCCATGGTTGGAGGAGGGAATCCTGTGTTCCAGAGTTGCCTGTGGTCATGTGTCCCACAGACTGTCTTGCAGGGGTAGCTCTTCTGTGTTAGTGAGTGGAGCTGGGAGTGTTGGCCTTCTCGGAGGCACTCGTCTGGTAGGTAGTCTGCGAAGGCCCAGGCTGCTTTTTCATTGGGGGCCTGTGTCCTGGCTGGGTCGGCAGTGATGAGTGTGTGGAGTTGCTGATGTCACTGGTGAGATGAGTCATCCGCTCCTCCTGCGCTGGCTAGTTCAGTTCAGGGTTCCGGGTCCTCACAGGAACTCTTGAGTTCATTTTTCATTTGCACAGTCCATTTTGTGGTGAAGTCATTTCTCTTGTAATTGGATAGATGGTCCCAACTGCAGGCAGGCAGAGCGACGTGCATTGTGTCTCTGAGGGCCCAAGAGTCTCTGCAATGGGAAGGAAGCTCTCAGACCTGGAGGCCACGGGAGAGGTCGGTCGGTGGGGAATATCCCACTGAATCTGCACTGGTGACCGGTTTTGGATTCAGACTCACTAGACATGGCCCATCCCCTGCAGCATCTGAGCGATGAGAGGAGACTTTTCTTTGGGGTCTTGGGCATTTACTGGACGTTAGTCTCAGCAGGCAGCTCTCCTGCAGGCGGTCACTGTTGTGATGCTTGCTGGCCTGGGCTGGCGTCTCAGTGTGCTTTGTGACCATCACCCGTTGATGCCCACGGTCCCTCATGAATCGCACTGTGGTCTCCCAGCCAGGCGGAGGTGGCGAGCGCTGGGGAAGGGAGTGTCCCAGGCTCTGTCCGCGCTGCTGGAGCCAGTGGTAGGTGGTTCATGAGCACCGTACTGCTGGGGAGGCTCCCAGGGCCTCATGCTTGGAGGGCACCTGTGAGGAAGCCAGCAGCGCCCTCGGCATGGCGTGGAGGACTCCTCTGCTCTCCAGTTACAGCGCCTCGAGGAAGGGCCTGCAGGCCGCCTTGGGCCAGCTTGGAGCTCTGGAGCATTCAGGTGTGAAGCCGGAGGGGGTGGTTGTCGGGTTTGCAAGTCATTATTGGAGGAAAATAAAGATAAAATATTTGCAGGTAAAAGCTCTTAATTTTACCTTGAAACTCATGGGCTGATAATTGGAGGTATTAGCATACGTTGTATTGCCAGTTTCAGTACAAAACTAACAAAGGTGTATGACAGGTACATGTTGCATAGGTATAGTCAGGGCTTTGGAAACAACAGTTCCTCCTCCCGGTCTAGCGTCAGTAAGAAACACAAGTGTTGTCCTGTTGCCTCGTAGCACAAGGCTTACTGAGGGCACCCCCCCCCTTCTGTCCCTTGGCCTGGCTGTGATGGGTCAGGGAGGAGCGCTGCCACCTGGGGATCTGCGCCTGTTTGAGGAGTGCCTGACTGTTGAGAGGGCTGGGAGCTGGATCCTTGGCTGGGTGGGCTGGGGTCATGTTTGATGAGACCAGCCTTCCCTCTAGTGCAGTGGTTCTCAACCTCGGCTGCACATGAGAATCACCTGGGAATCTTTTTAAAATCCTGATTTCTGGGCCTCATCCTCCAGAAATTCTGTCTCTTTGTTATGGGGTGGGGCCACAACATGAGTAACAAAGAAACAGAATTTCCGGAGGATTCTCATGTGCAGCCAAGGTTGAGAACCACTGCTCTAGAGAACGGTGAACGCGCGCACACAGGCCTGTCCCAGCAGTGCAGGGCCGAGGGGACACACGGAAGGTGTCGCAGGGACACATGGAGTCACCCCTGGGGCTGCCCAACAGGGCGATAGGAAGGTTCAGAGCAGGGGAGATGGGAGGCTGTGAAGTGACATGATCCAAGTGGGCCCCTGCGGAGGTGGGGGTGGGAAACCAACGAGACTTTCCTATACATGTTAAGTCCTCCCTGTTTTCAAAGGGGAAAGGGGTCCTTTTCCACGGGGTTTGTGCACCACTGACCTCTCACGACAGGAAGTGGAGTGTGACCATCCTGTGGTCCTTGGGAGATGCAGACAGCGCTCCTGTTCCTGGCGGTGTGACATGGGGTTAGGTGGTGGGTGCCCGGTAATTAACACTGGCTTTTCTTCCTTTGCAAGGTACGGACATTGTGGCAGGAGAAGAAGTTGCCATCAAGCTTGAATGTGTCAAAACCAAACACCCTCAGCTCCACATCGAGAGCAAAATCTACAAAATGATGCAGGGAGGAGGTATGGCCTTGACCTGCTAAGAGACAACTAGGGTTGTTTGGGGGCAGCGTCCCGAACCAACGTCTCTGGCTCTTTTGGGGAAAGGGAGGAAGATGCCCACACCTGGACCCAGCTGTCAGGCGGGCTGCAGAGGCCTCCTCGCTTGGACTTCGGGCTCAAGCACTGCTTCCCTGGTCTGCACGGGGCAGTGTCTGAGCTCAGGGCCGGCGTGGGCTTTGACTCCAGCACTGCTGGTCGTTCTGTGCCAGCTGGGTCACATGGTTTGTTCACAAGCTTGGGCGGGGGGTGGGGGGTGACTTCAGACTTTTCTGAGTGAAACTACTGCAACCCCTTTGAGCTGAATTACTGTCCCAGTTATGTCCCCAAACCTCCCCTGGGGCCTAAGGGTACTGATGCAAAGGGCACCCATCCTGACCTCAGAGTCTAACTTTTAGAGTTTTCTGGACTGGAAAATAATTTCGCGGATGGAGCAGGAGGTGGGGTGTATAAGGGAGTCTCCATTGTGGAGGCGCTGCAGCCTGGAGAGGACTGTCTGCTGCTCCCCAAGGGACCTGGGCGCAGGGCCTTGGGAAGGATGCTGCGCCGCTTCTCCTCAGAAGCCCTGGGGCGCTTCTTGGGGGGCGCTCCCCGGGGCTCCCTGCAGGGCTGTGACCTCTTTCCTCACAGCAGCGGGGTCTCTGCTGCTGCAGCACAGGTGTCTCTAGCAACAGAGACGACCAAGCAGCACGCGGTCCTGCTGGACCCTGCACAGGGTGTCCACGTGTCCCTCCTGCGTCTGTGGGAGCAGAGAGGCCTTCGACTGGCACACGGGTAAAAACTTTCTGCCCCTGTCGTCCCAGGGAGAGGCCCGCAGAGGACCCGGCCAGGGTGCTTGCCCGCCAGCGGCCGCAGCAGAAGGAAGTTTCTCAGGCACAACTTTTAAGGTGGTGACAAGTAGTACGAGGTGACTCAGGATGTGGCCTCCATGGGGGGAAGGAGCCTGGTGCTGGGGGTGGAATAGAACCTCCCAACTTGAAAGCCTTGTTGACTGTTAAGGAGCAGCACCTCTGAACTCCCAAGCTAGGGCACCCCTGTCATCAGCACAGGCAGGAGCACCCCTCACCCCGGCCGGAAGGATCTGACACATCTCTAGACGGAGCTCAGTGCCTGGGGCCAGCACTGCTTCCCGCCAGACCCTGCTCTAGGAGCCGGTGCCACTGCTCCCAGTCTCCCCTGGCCCTTCTCCGGGACCTGCCAGTGCACCCGGACTCTGCCGTTCCCCACACAGATCTGGGTTCCCCCAGTTTCAGACGCACCCCCAGTGGCTGCTATCCAGGTGTAAGACTTGTGTTTTGCTTCATTTTTTTATTAACTTTATTTTTTTGTTAATCCTCGCCTGAGGATATTTTTCCATTGATTTTTAGAGAGAGTGGAAGAGACAGGGAGAGACAGAGAGAAACATCGATGTGAGAGAGACATCGTTTGGTTGCTTCCTGCACATACCCCGACCGGGGCCGGGGATCGAGCCTGCCACTGAGGCATGTGCCCTTTGACCAGAATCGAACCTGGGACCCTTCAGTCCGCGGGTGACGCTCTAGTCACTGAGCCACCCCAGCCACAGGGCAGGCCTGTGTGTGAGAGAATGATTGTATCCAGAAAAGCGAGCGCCTCCTGGGAGTGTCTGTGAACTCACTGACCGAGACCGAGACCGAGACCACGCTGCGCCCGGCAGAGAGGAAGTGGGCATCGCTTTGCCCAGAGAGCAGGGGCTCTGCTGTTAACCAGCCTTCTGCGTGCGTCCCCGTGGGTACTGCAGGTCGCTTGTTGCTGACCCGGGGAAAGGGTCAGCGTGTGGTCCACAGGGACAGCAGGTGAGGAGTGAGCACCAGTCCAGCAAAATGCACCGCAGTTCTCTCTGCAGGTCCCCAACCTCGAGGGGTCTGGAAAAGGACAGATAAGCCCATGCTTCCCTCTCCTCCTCATAAATTCAAGATTTCACCCGAAGCTCTGGTTTCTCGCAGTGAATCCAGAGCTGCATTCGTCTGTCTCCTAGGAAGCAGCCTTGTGTCGACTTTGACAAAAGTTTCTTGCACCTTCATCTTCCCTTCCTTCCTCTCTCGACCCCACTGTCTACTGGCAGCCCCCTCCCCCTGCCTTGGACTAGAGGTTAAAGCAGCTCCGATCCATCTAAAGGCAGGTGTGCCTGCATGAGTCCCATCAAGGAAGGATGGTCTGACCTCAGGAGGCTGGGAGCAGTGGATGGACTATTTCCAGCTTTTTCAGAATATGACACAAATCATTGAAGCGTTATGGAGACTCCCAGAAATTAAATGTGTAGAAGTGTGGTCTTTTTCTGGGGGGCGGGAGTCCATTTTTAGGACAGACCTGGTCCAAATAGGAGACAGGGAAGAGTGCCCTGGCCAGTGCGGCTCAGCTGGTGGGCGGCGTCCTGGGCACCAGAGATTGCCGGTTCGCGTCCCTGTCAAGGCACATGCCCAGTTTGCAGGCTCGATCATCCAGTCGATGTTTCACTCTTACAGCGATGTTTCTGCCTTCCTCTTTCTTCCTCTCTTTCTAAATCAATAAAAATATTTAAAAATAAAATAGGGAAAGAGGAGAAAAAGAAGAAAGGAGGGCTCAGGACCCTGCTGCAAGCAAGCCTGTTTCAGATTCTTTGCGTGGTGTGACCCTCCTGTCACAGATGCTCTGGCGAGTCTTCCCGCAGTAGAGGAGGAGTGTGTAAACAGTGAAGCCCCAGGACACGAGAAAAACAACACGTTGTCTTTACACCAGCCGGGCCCACCTGGTGGCCAATCACCAAGCCCTGGCGCCTCGACGGGGTGGGCGGCAGAGCAGGATCAGACTCCCGTCGCCCGCTGTGCTGCTGCACTCGTCCTTCCCGACCGACCGGGAGCCAGCACGCAGGCTGCACCCTGTTCTCCTTCCGCAACGGCACCCTCTGCTGTCCGGCACCTCGGGCCACACCGGGAAGATTAAGGGCCGGGCCCTGCTTCCTGTAGCCAGCAGCCTTTGGGATGGGTGCAGAGGTCTTCTTAGAACATCGGACCAACTCAGGGTTTTACAGACACATGAGCCCTGTGACGTGGGAGGCCTGGCCCCACAGGCAGGATCTGGTGGGGGAAGCGGGTCTGAACAGGAATCCTTCCTCACCTGTCAACACCCTTGTCTAGCCTCTTCCTGTTCACACCCATTGCCAGTCTCCCAGGAGGAGGTGGCATCCTGGGGCCCCCGGTTAAAACTGTCTCCTGTGATACATTTAAGATGTGGGGCTTTCAAGAGGGCACTGCCCGAGAAGCAGCTCTGATTGGCAAAGTGAGCTGGTTGGGTAGGCTGTGCACTCCGATAGGTGGTCTCCATGGTGACAGGACACCATGTTCTTGCTGTGCAGGCCTGAGCGGCTGCCGACTCAGCCCTCACGTTGCTCATGGGCCGGAGAACAAGCAGTGCAGAACATGTACTTCAGGGAGAAAGCTAGTCGCACAAGATGTGTCAGCACACAGCTGGGGCCGCTGGCCTGGGAGTGTGGACCACAGCGCAGTTGTCCCAGTGAGCAGCATAGAGTGGTGTTGGCTGGAGTGGGGCGCACAGGAGTGTAGGAGCAGCAGACCTGCAGCTGGTCCCCAGCCCCCCCCTTTTGTCTCATCCTGACCCACTGACGGGGCAGCTCAGCACCTGACCCCAGAGCGAGGAAGCCAGTGGTGGAAAACCCTGCTCGGAGACCCTCCCTCCCAGAGAAGACAGGGCTGGGGGGTGGGCCATCACTGCTCTCTCACCTCATTGCTTCACTCCGCACAGGCAAGGTCCTCCTCTCCTCTTTCGAAGGAAAACAGCTTCCCTATTCAGGCCGCTTCCAGCTGAGGTTCTGGGGTGTCCCTGACGCCCGCGGGGCACCTGCACAGAGGATGGCTGGCGTGCCTGCTCCCCTTGCAGGGGGAGGAGGAGGATGCTGTGGACCCTGCTCGACGCAGTATCCACCCTTTCCACTCTCCATGCTCCTTGAGACCCGGCCGTTGGGCCGCCTCGTGGGGCAGGGCTGTGGCTCTTCCTCCCCAGAGGCAGGCTGGCTTGGCTTTCCCTGTGAGCTGGGCCACCGTGTGGCTGATGCTCTGGGAGGAGGGGCACCTCTGAGGTTGGAGGGCCAGCTTGGTTCCTTGGCACAACGGTCTAGACCTCCACAGCTGTGGTGCTTGTCTCTGTCTCCTTCCATCTTCTACCCCTGGGACAGAACACCTACCAGGGCCAGTCGCTGGGGAGATTCCAGGCCCTTGGAGTTCTGGAAGCCCACCTCCATTGCCTCGCGCTCCTTCAGGCTCTAAAGCCTCCCTGGAGAGCCTGCTCAGGCTCAGAGTGCACCGGGGTCAAGCGTGGTCATGGCGCAGACAGGAAGCCTAATCCCGTGTGCATGGTGACCCACTTACAGATGCCAGCCCCGTGCAGCAGCTGTGGCTCCCAGCACCTTGGCACGGCCACCTGCAAACTGCTGGGTGGACACGGAGCCCACAGTCTGCTGAGCCCCAGGGTCCTGGTCAGATGGCTGTTGGCCCCTGAAAAGTCCAGAAACTGAAGTGTAATTTTCTTAATGTGATTGGTTTTTTTAGAGGGAGAGAGAGAGAAACATTAGTGAGCCTCCTGCACACTCCCTACTGGGAATTGATCTCACAACCCAGGCCTGTGCCCTGACCAGAAATTGAACCGGCAACCTCTTGGTGCAAGAGTTGACACTCAACCACTGGGCCACACTGGCCGAGCTGAAGTTTAATTCTTAATAGTTTAGCCAAATACAAACCATAGGTGACTAGGAATAAATCTTAAGACACACAAGACCTGTGTGCGGAAAATACAAAGCTTGACTGGAGGATACTGAAGACGACTTACAAGTGTTCCTGGTGTGAAGACTCAGATGTCGCTCCTCCCAGAGTGCCTCGGCCAGCAGGGTTCCGTCCAGGCCAGCAGCGTGTTTCTTCAACATGACAAGCTGACTCGAGAACTCACGGATAGCCAAGGTCAGAGACTGACTGAATACTCCTGAGGAAGGCATGTGCCCCGAGAAGATCAAAACTCAGGCTGGAAGGAGTGACAGCCCGAAGCAGTGAGCACGCCTGGCATCCAGATAATGGCTTCTGGTGTCATTTCTCACAGGAGCCTGGTCTCACAAGGGCTGGGCAGGAGGAGGTGAGGCAGTCGAGCAGGCTGTGTGTGGCTCAGGGAAAGTTCTCAGGCCAAGTGGGCACATGTCCAGAGGACACAGGAGCAAGCTTGGAGGGGCATCTGTTGGCCAAACTTGGGATAACTGGAACCTCAGAACTAGTAACTCCAGCCCCTGGGAGAAGGGAGGAGCGTTCGTGACTCCAGAGTGTGCGTCACACAGGAAGCTCCACAGAAAAATGCAGAGGGAACTGTCAAGTGGGAAATTGCCACTTTGTTGATGGGTCCCAGCAGGAGTCACCGATGCCTGCAAGCACCTTCAGGGAGCGGGTCTGAACCCACCCTGAAGCTTCGCCCACGGAGGACGGTAGCGGAGAGTGGATGGTGAAGAGCCGCGGGCAGCAGCTGACGGGGTCCGGCCAGCAAGCAGGCACATCCAAAGTGGTTGTCCTGCAAAGCTGCCTGAGCACCAGAGGTCCGTGGTGACCACACACCACAGGTGGCCCTGATGGGATCTGGGTGGGGGGAAGCTGTGAAGGACGGCACAGCTTCTGGGACACATGGTGGCCACAGTGGTGCTGCCCCCACACGGAGACAGGAACGGGCCTGGGAACTGACCCGCAAGACCAGCCGTGGGTCCTGTGCAGATGTCATTCCAGTGGAAGAGGCCTCGTGAGCACGTGGTGCCGACGGCGGTGGGCATGTGCCTCACCTCACCAGGAACCACCTCCAAAGAGTGAGACTGGAAAACGTTTATTTTTTAAGTCGGTTTCACTGAGGTGCAATCAGCTGCGTTTATTTTAAGTGCAGGGTGACACCCTCATGGAACCATCTCCGTGCCTGGGAGAGTTGCTGTCTCCATCACTCCCAGAAGTTTCTAGGTCCCCCTTTGTCCCTCCACTCCCTCCCTCTGCTGCCATCGGGTTGGTTTGCATTTCCTAGTGTCTGGAAGGGAGCAGGACTGCTGGACGCGTCTGTGCTGTGCGTCCCGGGTGTCGGGCACGCCCACCGCTGCTGGGCCTTCTCGCAGGCCCTGTGGGCGTTGGTTTCCTTTTCTCGTGGTCAGCAGCCGGCTTAGGTGGTTGTGCTCTTCAAATTGTCCATTTTGTGTGAGTTGAAGTTACTGGCACGAAGCTGTTCCCATGTTTCTATCAGCCTGTGAACGTTCAGTCTCGTTAGCCCGTCCTCTGGATGGTGGTAGCCCGCAGTCTGACTAGAGGTTTATCAAAAATCTTCTCAGAGAACCAGCTTTTGGTTTCAGTAAGTTTCCTATTTCATTGATTTCTACTGTGACCTTTTATTTCTGCTAACTTTGGGTTTCTTAGGTTTTCAGATAGAAACTGAGATCATTGATCTCTTTCTAGCACAGGTGTTCACTTGCTGCAGATTCCCCCAAATACGACTGTCGCAGCGTCTCCTGAGTCCTGCTGTGTTGGGTCCCCATTTCACTTAGTCCCACACGCTTTCTAACCCCCTTCTGATCTCTCCCGGGATCCAGGGCTGTTTAATGTGGTGCCTGTGTGCAAAGCGGCATTTGTTTTGCTCGCCAGCAGGAAGTCTTGTCTCTGCCTCTGACATCCCTGGCCTCGTTGCCACTCCCGGGCTGGATGCTTGGTGCTGGCTGTGAGCAAGGACTGCAGTGTCTGCGATGTCAGCCTGCTCACCAGCAAACAGTTGGCGATCCATGGTTTCATGGAGGCCGCAAAGGACGAGACTCCCTGAGCTCCAGCGAAGGGACAGCAGCGGGAAGACCTGGGGAGACACCCAGTTGTGTGACTTCAGGGTGAGGGCTGCTGCTGTCCCTGTGTTGAGGCGCCCGCACCGCCGAGGGACAGGCAGGCACCAGTTCTGAAGTGCCTGACGGAGCTTCCAGATAACTTGGGGATGGTGCAGAGCTCTCCGTCCTGTTTCTAAGGGTGCTGCTGTCTGAGAGCGCACTCCACAGCGCCGGCGCTTTACCTTTAGCGAGGCCTGTCTGGTGTTGGGCGCACGGGAGGGTCCTGCTGTGAGACGGGGCTGAGCTCAGTCAGACGGGCTTGTCTTCCTGTCGCTTTGCTTCCTGTATGCGGTGCTCTGTTAACTGCAGAGGCTTAGAGCTGGTTCTCTTGATGAATGGATGCCTTTGTCACTGTGAAATGACAGAGTCTTCTCCGCCATCTGCTGCGTGTGATGCTAATGTGCGTTCTGTGCCCTTTTGTCCTCCTGTCTGTCCTGCCTGTCGGGCGCCCAGTGTATGTCTGTGCAGAGAGGGCGCCTGCTCTGTCTCTAATCCGGGGAAGTGCCCACGGGGGTGGCAGGTCCTCCAACAGCATCGTCTCTGGTGCTGGGAGCTGCTGTGGGGACTTGGTTCTCACGTGTGTCCGTCAGGCTGTGGGTTTGGGGCCATGCAGGCCTTTCTGCGCAGCCGCAGGCCCTGAGGGGCTCCTGTTCTACGTTACTGTGGCCTCGCCTGCCGCTGGCTCGTGAACAGGAGCAGAGCAGGCCTGCAGGTGGCTGCGCACGTCTCTGTTTGCCTTTGCTGGCGGCTTCTGCAGCCTGTGCCTCTGGGATGCAGTGTTTCCTCAGCGCTCGAGGCAGGCCTCCCGTTCTGAGGAGAAGCCGCAGTCCCCGCCTCTTCGCTCCTCAGTGTGGGGCCTCTCTTCCCTGCTGCTCCCGGATGTTCTGTCACTTTTGTGAGCCCTTGGCTGACAAGCCGTGTGATGGTCTTCATGATGCTTTCCTGGGGCCTGCGGGTTAAATGCCATCATCGGGCTATTTCTTCCCGTGTGAAGTCTGTCCCCGTCCCTTCTCTTTCCTCTCCTGGGCGCTCTGGTCACAGAAATGGCGGTGCCTTGCAGTTGTCCCAGCTGCAGCTCCGTCGGCTCTGCCAGTCGTTCCTCCGTGTCACATGCCTTCAGGCCCACAAGGTCGGGCCTGCTGGGAACCCACTCATGTGTTCCCACCGTGCACGTTGCAGGGTTCCTCTCTGCAAGTCGGATGTGAGTGTTCTGTGGATCTCTCCCGCGATTGGTGCATGCACCACCCTCACAGAGGATGTTGACCACTGGGTCCCTGGGCGCTGCTTCCGCCCACACCCCTCACACCCCTCTCTTTGCTGCCCCTCCTTCTCTGTCCTGCATTTGCCCACCCTTCACCCACAAAGTGGGCATCATGTTCTCACCTTGTGTCCCGTGACTACTGCCCACCTGACCCTGGTCAGGGAGTCACATGTGAGCGCAGGTGTGTCAGGGTCTTCTGACCCCACCCCTGGCCGCCCTGAAACCCGTGTCTCTTCCAGTGGGCATCCCCACCATCCGGTGGTGCGGGGCGGAGGGGGACTACAACGTCATGGTGATGGAGCTGCTGGGGCCCAGCCTGGAAGACCTCTTCAACTTCTGCTCGAGGAAGTTCAGTCTCAAGACTGTTCTGCTGCTGGCCGACCAGATGGTAAGCGCTGCCTCGCGGCCCCTCTCCCCCGCCTGTCCTGCACAGGGAGGAAGGAGGTGTTCATTAACCATTGCCATGAGGTAGTGACAGGTGGGCTGGGTTTGGAGAGCCACCGCGG